CTGATGGCATCATCGGCCATCGTCACGCTCTTTCTCTGAGCTACAGATATTAAAATATATAACAATGTTTGTCTTCTTTCATCACTAATTTGTACAACCTAAGAAGAATAAAGCCTTGATGTATAAAAGCTGACTGATGGTCTATATTTGTTCAGTAAACAATATGTTCAAACATTGAATTGCTTAATGTTTTGGCATTTCACATCAACGTGTACGGTAAAAACTCCTTTTCTATAATGCATATTATGAATAATTCGAAATATGAGTGAGATCAGGAGCTTAATGCTCCTGATCTCACTCATATTTATAATGCTTATGTTTGTCTTCTTTCATCACCAATTTCTACAACTAAAGAAGAATAAACAAAGCCTCGATGTGTAAACGCTGACTCGATATCTGTTCAATGAACAATATGATGTAACGTTGAATTGTTTAATTCTTTGGTATTTTAGGCTCGTCTGTTCTTTACACATGTCTCTGCTTGTGAGAGCCAAATGTCCCAGAATGCATTTCACCTCAGCAACGACGGGGGGAAATAAATACTAGGTCGAAGTTTATAAATACTTCTATATTTAAGTCACGGAATGTAATTCTACGACTTTTTCAGACGAGAAGTTAGTTGTTTACGCATCATTTCTGCCGTCGGTTTGTCAACATTCAGCATTCGTGACAATTTGCTCCGTGGATGTCGGAGATTTGAGGTCTAGTCAACGGGACCGTCTGACTCCTCCAGCACCGGGCGGTCACCTCATCTCAGCCCGCAGAGAGCAGCCTGTTTTCGGCCTGTCTTCTGTGAAATGCTCCGCTGGTGTCCACGTCTCCGTAGCGGTTATACATGAGATACTATAGTAAAACTAGGCTGAGTGTTCATAGCTTTCAATGTGGTCACTGATGTTGTTACGTCTGTTTGAGGACAGAGTTCAGATTCCTAACTTCATGTTTAACTTTAACGTTTTGTCTGTATCCAGAGTGCAGCTTGTTATCGTCCATCATTGTGCATTAAAACTAACGATGTTTTAATCAAAGGACATGAGGACCGTCATCGAGACTCTAAACCGGCAGCATGACGTCAGCATCCAAGAAGCTGAGAATCTCTGAATCGTAATAGTAATAAATACAAGTTATCCCCATTTGAAATATTCTATATTTCTCTGTAAGATATTTGATGTCTGGTCAGTTGCTTGAATATGCTTGTTTATTCTTGAAATGTTTCTATTCATTTCATTGTCAGAATGTAAATCCAACTGTAGCGCCATTGATGCCTGCATCGTATTACATTACATTACGTGTCATTTAGGTGACGCTTTTATCTAAAGCCACTTACAATAAGTGCATTTCAACCATAAGGATACAAACAGTAAAGAACAAGAAACAAGAAAGTGTCATTTCATTAAACAAGCTGATTTACAACTGGCTCTAGATAAGAGCCATTATAAGTGCAATGGCTTTACAAGTGCTACAATTTGTTAGTCTTTAATATCTATAATAAAAAGCTAACTGTGATAATCATTAACGATGTCACCTATCTAACCGTAGCCTCCATGATCACTGTTTATTAGATATTAAATACTATGTCAGGTACTAATGACGTCACCTATCTTACAGAATGTAGCCTTATTGCTCACTGTATCATAGATATTAAATACTATGACATTAATCACGAATGATGTCATCGATCTTACGGTATGTAGCCTCATTGATCAATATATTATAAACATAATGGCCATGGGTGTGTTGTTAAAACTGTGTACTTCTTGTCTCTTTGACTTTCAAGTCTTTTCAGTTGCTGACGTTGTGCTTCAATGACAGCTTCCAGTTCAATTTCGGCTCTTTTTGCAGCCAACTGTGCAGCAGTATCTGGTCTCTCAGCTGAAACACGTGGTGATTCTGAGGGATGGTTAGAACAGTGGCTGCGTACAGAGACTCTGGAAGCCGTGGACCCATATGTGGACCCAGCGTCACTGTCGAGCAGCATCCGTAACGTTGATTTTTCCAACTCGGGATCAAACGCTTCTCCTTCTTCAATCAGGCTCACTTTCATTAGTCGTAATAAATCTGCTGATACAGCTGAGCATGCATCAACTTTTCTCCAAATGTCTTGGCTTGGTACTGTTTGGAGTCGTGCGTTGTCGTATAACTGCTTCAATTCAGACTCAAGCCTCCCAACCACATCCATCATGTCATACAAGTCACTCTCAGAGCACTTGTGTTTTAATTTATTACGAACTTCCCTAATGATGGTTGTAGCTGGTTGTCATCTACGGTCCACTACGATTACCGAAGGGGGGCGTTTGTTTTTTGACAACGTTTTATCTCATAATTTCGACTTTCTATCTCCTTTCTTCAGTGCGGAAATGGGCTTCTATAGTTGGGTGGATGCATCACTCCAGCCAAAGACGGGGTTTGTAACCAATCAGGTGTAGAGACCATGGTGACTGGCTCCGCCCCCTCACTGTCAAAAAGAAAAACAGCGAGCGCGTAGAGCAAATATCTCGTGCGAGATGATCTTTTGCTCGCGCGAGACGGAGATTTGCTCGCGGATGTTTGATTTACGCGCGCGCATCAACCTGATTTGCGCTCTTGAGTTTTGACAGTGATTTGCAGAGCGAGCGAGCGAAAAAAGTATATCGTGGGTATGACAAAACATAAACAAATCCTTTTTTGTGTACAGTGGTGAAACAGTTCATTGTGTAATGGCAATAATGGTACAGTGGGTGCGGAAAGTATTCAGACCTCTTTACATTTTTCACTCTTTGTTTCATTGCAGCCATTTGCTAAAATCTAAAAGGTTTGTTAAAAAAGAAAAACTGAAATATGACATGGTCATAAGTATTAAGACCCTTTTCTGTGCCATATTGAACTCACACGCTGTCCATTTGTCCTGATCCTCCTTGAGATGGTTCTACTCCTTAATTCAAGTCCTGCTGTGTTTAATTAAACTATATAAGACCTTTCAGCTCACAGTTTGTGTCAGAGCAAATGAGAATCGTGAGGGCCCAAGGAGCTCAGAGACAGAATTGTGGCAAGGCACAGACCTGACCATGGTTACAAAATAATTTCTGCAGCATTCAAGGTTCCTAAGAGCACAGTGGCCTCCATAATCCTTAAATGGAAGATGTTTGGGACGACCAGAACTCTTCCTAGTCCTGGCCATCCAGCCAAACTGAGCAATCGTGGGAGAAGAGCCTTGGTGAGAAGAACCCAAAGATCACTGTGGCTGAGCTCCAGAGATGCAGTAGAGAGATGGGAGAAAGTTCCACAAAGTCAACTATCACTGCAGCCCTCCACCAGTCGGGGCTTCATGGCAGAGTGGCCCGACGGAAGCCTCTCCTCAGTGCAAGACCTATGAAGCCTGCATAGAGTTTGCAAAAAAACACACGAAGGACCCCCAGACGATGAGAAATTGGATTCTCTGGTCTGATGAGACCAAGATTGAACTTTTTGGCGTTAATTCTAAGCGGCATGTGTGGAGAAAACCTAGGGCAGTATAATTGAGAGACTATTGACAAAGATTTGTCTTTAGTGAACCGAAATGTAAAGATAAGATTGGAGACCCACAAAGACGTTTCTTTGACGAGGACATTAATAAGGTGTATGTATAAGTGAATTATGAAACTAGCTACTTTAAACTGTTTCAAATGTAATTGCTCCTTATGTTTAAAATGATATGGAACAAAAGGAACCCAATACGGGGAATGAAGTAGCCCACTTGTCAATTTGGGGAAAAGGTTCTTCCTTTTCGCAAACACATATTGGAGGAAGAAAAGTTTGCAACGCATGATTGGCAAACACCAGTTCTTACTTTGTGAAACAAGTCTGATTTTATTTTGACCCGTCCTTGGTAATACTCGTTTTTTATCTCAAATCTACTGAACAGTGATCACTAGATTTTCAATGATGAAAATATGTGTGTTCTATTGTGTATTTCTGTACAGCATGTGGACTGAGATGCTTCATGTGTCCCACCGACTTTGACGTTTGTTCCAGTGTGGAGAAGAGAGGCGAGAGCTTCTTCCACAGCTGATTTCAATCAAAACACAATATGATCGACCATTGGATTGTTTAATTCTTCTGTATTTCACATGTACAGCAAAAAACAGAATCATAAAATGAAAAATTCAAAACATGAACCATCGTGAGCAAATGACTCATTACATGTTGATCATGAGGATTAATGATCCAGCACAAGACTTTGCACTCCTTTTCATTTTATATGTATTGCCAAACCAAATGCTTGAGTACAATCAAATAAATGTTTTTTTCATCTTTCTGCATAAATATTCTTTTATCCAAAACCGAATAAGGCTAGACTTTTTAAAGCGCTGGATCAAGAGGAAATCAGGCGTTCATTTGGCACACTAATAATAAAACAGTCTTTGTTGAAGCATAAACTAAAAACAAACTACATTTTACACAAAAGGAAATTATTTACAAGAGGAGGGCACATAAGTGATCAAATCTTTTTGTTTAGTTTGTTGGCAGGATCGTAAAAGACACGTGTGTAGAACAAAGAATCCTGCTGTCATTTGAAAATATCAGACTTCAGTTTAGGTGATATTCATGTTTTCAAATCTCAACAATCAAGGTATGAATGTCAAGCTTTTCAAATCGGTTTTGGGTTCTTTGTCAGTTAATAGTAAAGAGACAATGCTATTAACAGCAGCAATCAATCAATCCATTAACAGTTCTCTTCTCCTTCTGGTTGAAATATTTGCCAGTTCAGTTTTTCAGTGTATTGAATGAATCCCTTTTTTATATATATGTCCAACACTTCACTGCCTCAGTAATTAATCTAGATCATCCAGATGTCTGCCACAAAAGCATACACGCAATATCCCAAATTCTGCGTTTAGCTGATAAGAAAAGTTGCAGTCTAGTTTGCCAGTCAAAGCCACCGTGTTTCAGATTTGAACATTTACATCTGGTGGCACTATTACAAATGTAAGAAAAAAAAAGACTTCCAATTCACAAACATTTCATTTTTAAACAAAAAACATCAAATCACTGGCAGATTACTTTGCAAAATCAATACTCAAGAACATAAAGATGCACTCTCTGCACTAAAGACAATAAGGCAAATAAAGTCACCAGGCAGAAATGGACGGGAGGTTATGAGGCACCTTTGAGAACACTACGTCTTTAACAAGGCAAACTAGTAGCATCGCTGCAATACATCCATGTCTTGAGTCTGTGGACCAACAAAATGAATTCACACTTCTTATTCTTTTACGCTTCCCCTGAGCTGATGGAAGTCATTGGAGAATTAGATTTGGCCCTGAAATGGCAGAATGGCACGACCAGGACCAAGAACAGGTCACAGGAATGTAGACGTATAAATACTTGCACTCCGTTTAGCTTTACATTTACACCCAGAATCATGTTTCAGTACACAATCTAGTATCAATAGACTCATATTCTATCATACCAAGCAAAGCTTCATGAATATGAAGACAAAGTGACGAATGAGACACATGCTGCCGTCAGTGCAATGCTAATTAATGCAGGTTACCTTCAACCGTAGGTAGTTATGAGTGTTCTCCACAATACAGCAGTTGCCATGGTGAAATGAGGCGAGGCATCCCCTCAGAGGGCTTCTGTGAGTATTTATTGCCGGTTCAGCACCCAACACCGTCAGTCCATGAGAAAGACCCAAAACATTCGAGCTGTGGGCCTCGAAGGACGAAGGACTAGATGTCCATCAGGTGGAAGACGCGCTGACGATACAATCGCAGATCGGTTGAATGCTGTGGAAGGCACATGAGGATGAGGATCGGCTAAAGGATGGAGCCAAAGAAAGTGAACATGGGTTTTTGTTCTGATTCTTTGGGTGGAAGGCAATTGGCAGAACTATTTTAACATAAATATACTTAATGGTCATTTCCCTTTGAAAAACAAGCAAACATCTCCTGCATCTCCTGGCGTGTGCGTGTGCTCACCACAATGTGCATACAGAACGTGTGTGCGTGTTAAAGGCCGTTGATGCCTTCAGTGAACCCATGTGAAATAAGCTATCTCGTCCAGGTCCACGGGGTAGTCGGTGAGGTACGTGGGGCCTTTGTCATAATGTTCCCCCTTGTAGCTCCTCCAGCGCCCTGCGGGCAGGTAGATGTCCCTCTCCTGCTTCCCTGACTCCAACACCGGCGCCACCATCAGGTCGTCCCCGATCAGGAACTGGGAATCGATCTTGTACGCTGCATCGTCGTTGTTGGCGATCCACCAGAGGGGCCTGATGATCGGGTCCCCGGTGTCCAGGACCTTGCCTGCCAGTTCGAGAACCTTCGGGGCCACCAGAGTCTCATGGAGCCCTGCGAACTTCAGCGCTATCTGCACCACCTGCAGGTCAACGCATAAAGGTGAGGGGTCAATTAGGTATATACACGTAATATAAATCAAACATTATTAGTTGTCTATTTTTATACACACACACGTATATTAACTAATGATCACATTCATGGACAGGAGATTACAGAACAGGGAAAAAAAGATTACAAATGTGTTCCCCGTTACACGTACAATGTCAGGTGCAGATGTAACCATGGTTCTATGCCCCAAGCAGAGTTAAAGCACTGCCTCTGGGTTCAGTTAGGATGAAACGTGTCACTTTGCTCACCTCGCTGTCATAGGCCCATGGCGGTATGGAGAACTGCATGGCGGGCATGAAAGCAGACAGCTCCAACCATCGGATGTACAGCTCTCTGTCCGGCAGAACACTTTTGCCATCTAAACCAACTGAACACACAACGCAGATGTCAGACCGTAGACTAAAACCACATCAACGTGCGTCTTTAAGGGAGCCAACATTAAACATACCTGCGGTGCGGTTGGGGTACGCGTTCCCTCCTATCATATCAGGTAACACAAACTGGTAACCCAGAATGCTAATGGTGAGAACCGTCGGGATGATGGACTTGAGGCCGAGCTCGTAGCCCCACACGGAGTCCCGGTCTATGATCCTGAAGAAGCAGGAGATATCCTGACTCTGGTAACCCACCCTCAGCTCCGCACGCTCACTGAACGGGATGGCCATCTCCGTGTAGCGGCGGGTGAAGGTGGAGGGGTCCGACAGCGGCACCAGGGTGCTAAACTGGCGCGGGAGGTAGCTTGTCTCTCCCGCGTCGAACTTGAAGGACGTCACGTTATAGCGGGTCTTCATCATACGCAGCTGGGAGGAATACCACTCGCGAGCTTCCGGGTTGGTGAAGTCCAGAACCCCCCCGATGCCGTTCCACCAGCGCACCAGAGCAGGCAGCTCGCCGCTCGGCTCCCGGACAAACAGCCCTTTCTCCACGGCGACGCCAAAATTAATGGAGTCATAGTTGATGAAAGGATGTGTCCAGAGCGACACTTGGAACCGGTCCTCTCGGAGCTTGTCGAACATGCCGCTGGCGTTGGGGAACTTCTGCGGGTCAAAGTCAAACTCCCCGTAGTCCGCGGTGTAGCGGTCGTCCAGCTCCAGGTGGGAGCAGGTGAAGCCGTACTTGGTGATGTCGGAGGCGTAGCGCAGCAGTTTCTCCTGAGTCACAGCCGTCTTGTGGATAGCCGACGTGGACCACAATGGCTTTTGAAAGACCTCAGGAGACGGCACCTTGATGGGCTTCGGGAAATACCGTCGCACCTGAACACATTCAGAACGGAGACTTGGTACAGAGGTACTCGCGACAGTTCCTTCTGGCATTTATTCCCCTTTTACCCATAAGTTTGATGATAAGGCAGCAACGACTCTCATATGTGTCCATTAAATATCAAGCTACAACCAGACAGTTAGCTTAGCATGACTGGGAATAGGGAGGTGTGGCTCTGGAGATAGTCAGTACAAGCCAATAAACAGTCCCACCACTCATTAAACCACAATCTGTTATTCTCAATTCACATCGAGGAGATACCACAACAGAGCCGCGCTAGTTGTTTCCCTTTGCTTCCAGTAGTCGTGCTAAGCTAAGCTAAGCGGCCATATGACGGCCATTAGAGCGAGATGGATGTTCTCATTTAAGTCCTGCCAAAAACCTAAATACATTCATGTTATAATAGTATGAAACATAAAAGAAGCAGACGCAAACATGTCTGTACTCACCATGTATTTGTGAATAGAGGTGACATCAGACCCCACACACACTCTGTAGCTGAGTTCAGGGAAGGCCGGCCTGCCCTCTGGTGGTCTGAAGGGAGAGTCCTGGTATCGGGCTTGAAACCTGAGTGTACTGTTCTTCTCAGACCAGCCCAAATGAAACGGTACCGAGTCATTGATCTTGATGGCGGTCGCGTTGGAGGACAGCCAATAGCGTTCCAAGATCCCCCCGAAAGCTTTCCGATTGGAGTAGACGTCACTGGTGATGAAAGGCTGCGGCTCCTCCTCGCCGGGCATCCTGATGGGCCAGTGCTGGGTTGCCGTCTCCGCCCCTCCGTACCAATGAGAGTCGTTATAGGACATAGCGTGCTCCACCGAGCGCTTACTTTGCAGCTCCTCCCAGCGAACGCGGTAGCACATCACCGTGTCCTTTGGTCGGACCGTCTGGATGAAGAAGTTCAGCTCGCCGGAATCTGACTGAGTGCATCTCAGAATCTTCCCCTCCTTTGAGCAGGAGTCCAGATTCAGAGTGCCAGACCTGAGAGGAAGCAAAGACACGAGGGGAAGGAAATATAAAAGAGCTCGTTAAGACCCACACAAGTATTACTAGCAGTGATGATCATTGGACTGCAAGAGCGAAATCGTAACATAGAAGATACTGTATGCTTCATTCATTGGCTCTATTTCTCTACAAGGACAGTGTGTCCTGTTGATGAGAGCTCTGCTGATAAAGGGTGTGACTAGATGGGTCTTGCCTCAGGGTGGAACGCGTGTCTGTCTCGTTTGGCTTTCCATCATCCATCCACAGACCGGCAGCGTTTTAGTACGACTCGGCATGCAAAGTAATGTATTATCTTCTTTATTATAATACAAGATGTTCATACTGCTTCCATCTGCCTCGAGTGTACGGAGAGCGTCTCTGAAAAATAGTCCCCTCTATTCACACAACTTCAGTATTGATCTTAACCACCTTCCTGGTCTACAAATCTGTCACAGTTGCATACAGACTTTTTTTTTTTTACTGTATTTTGATGGCTCTGAAATGTACATGAAATCAGCATGATAATTCTTCTCAAGTACTTAATAGTGAAGATGAAAAGATTATTTGATGATTTGATTGACGGATCATTCTGAAGCAGATATTTTTATACTTTCCAACTATAAAATGTAAAATATTCCCTGGTAAAAACGTCTTCTTAAAATGTGTTGCTTGTTTTTTAATTATTTCTTTTCTGCTGAAATCCATTTAATTTTTATTGTGGCCTGAATAACAGCGAACCCACCCGAAGGCCATGCTGAAGATGACGGCCCCCGCCTGATTATGAATAATAAAACCGTCTTTGTTGAGCTCCAGCAGCTCGGCCTTCAGCAGCTGGGCTCGGCGGAGCGACGCTGAATAGTAGCACCAGGCGACCACAGCGGCCAGCACCAACACACAGCCCAGCATGCCCGCCGCCACCAGTGGCCGGCCTTCATGAGCCAGTTTCTTCTTGACTGGAGAGTTCCCAGCTCCCCCGGCCGTCTGCTGCTCCCCGGGAGCCACGGGGACGATCTGGTACATCCTGAAGGTTTTAGAGAGTGAGGAGAGTCTGGGATGCAGATTCAAAAAGGAGGAGTGGACGGCCTTAACTTTCCCTTGCCGTCCGTGTCATTGAAAACGGAAGAAATCTTCTTCACTCTGGCAATAGCGGAGCTGAAGGAAAGCCCGATGTCTACCTGCCGATCTTCAGTCAGCCTGTCTCGGTGGCCGATGCGTCCCGGCCTGCGAGACGACATTGAAATTCAGTATAAGTGACCCAACATGTAAGATGTGTTCGGAAGGAGAAAAAGGCCACCATGAGAAATCAATGTCATTCACTAATTAACCTTAATATCAGATAGGAAAAGGAATTATACAGACATTCGTAATGTTCTAAATATTCACTGTGGGACGTCCAATTCCAGTAATGTTCTCGTATAACGCCCGTCACAGAGTGGGTTTGTTGGACAATCCCCTCCGGTTATTACCGCTGGCAAAGCTAGATGTTCCTGTACTGAGTCTGTGTGCATCCTGCAGGGTAGTTCAGCAGCAAGAGCACAGAAGCTGTAATCTGGTAAATGGTAGGTGGAGCTGCTTTGCCGCCACACATAAGTAGTGATGGTGACAGAACCAATGACACCATGAGACACATGCTAATGATCAGAGAAAGTACAGGCCCCGTGTCAGCGTGGTTCAGTTACATTCATTCATTCAAGCAGCGGGCCCTTGGACATGAGTAAATAACAGTTAAGTTCAGACAACGGCTCTGCAGCAAGCCTGCAGTTACCAGACAAAGCACGGGCCAATCATCCCCATCAGAACCATATTTAACCTCCCTACAGGTGTCATTACGCTCCAGCTCCACCGTCTCACTGTATTCTGATAAAGTGTTTGTGGCTGTGCAGCAGGAGAAGCAAAGCTCGCAAATGCAAATCTGGGTTTCCTTCACTGCTGCTTGACTCGCCTTCCTGTTTAAATACAGCTTTCGCCACCATTTACCTCCTCGGCTCCTAAATGTCAGCACTGACTGCTTTGTTAGGAAACTATCGTGAACGGAGTAGTTTTGCAGGCCTTGCTGTACACACTGTATTTTAGTGTGCATGAATAAAAAACTCACTCTGTCAGGGGTGATTTAGGGCCATAGCCTCATCATTTAGCAGCTTATTTAGTGCTTACTGTTCTGATCTACAGCAATTCAACTCTCTAGTCTGGTCAGTGCAAGAAGCTGCACTGTATCCACGTGAGTTCAAGACGGACACCTTGACTATTACAGTGTTACATACATTACATTACATCTGATTTAGCTGAAATGATGGTCAAGCACAGAGCTCCCAAAGTGACACCAAGCCAACTGATGGAGCATACCCTAATGTGCCAATGCCCGATCGATGACCCGCACGCACGCGTCGACACGAACAAGTGGCGCTGCGTTGGGACCGATTGGGACTACATACATTAACCGGTTGTACCGGGTCACCACGCATAAGGCACGGGAAGGGTCCTTCAACGAAGTGAAATGCAACGTCGGCCATGTCAACGACACATACATTAATGAGAGAACGCGTCGATACTGTCGTAGACAGCGCTGCGGTGGTACAAACAGAGTTTCTTACCTTCGTCTGTGACTCTCGGGTCAATGTGTACAGCTGGGAGCGCAGTAGTCCACTGCGCAGCTGCGGAGCGGCTTCAACTTCGATGGTGCCGCCAAACGACAGACGATTGGTCCGTTTAACTGTCGCTCGTAACCCAATGGGCCTCTGGGAAATGTAGTGTGAGCTCGGAATTTTTTTTTTTTAAGAAACTAATGTTGGCACATAGTGAAAAAACAGATAAAGTATCAATTATAACTGCCTTATTTTATGTACTATTGTTTTCCATGGAAATAATTCAAATTCAAAAGTACACTTTGTGGCATTTTATATTTAACTGGCTCTTGTCATCATTCAAAACAGGGAACACGGCGATGTAATTTAACCTTACGTAAGCTGCGTATTTGGAGTAATTTACTATTTGACCTTGAAAACTTTGAGGGTGAACAAAACAGCAGTTTCTTTGTATTGCCGTTGTGTGTAACGTTAGCATAATTAGCTAACTCGACGTTAGTTATTGATAAGAGGAGTCTGACCGACCTGGACTTCGTCCCAAAGCAGCTGGCACCAGATCACCCCGCCGCTCTGAACCACACCACGGGGGGTGAGATCACACAGCACGCGGCGTTAGTGTGTAACGAGCCGACATGTTTCCAGAGCTGCCACCGGGTGACAGCAACACGCTACAAACACAGCGAATCACAGCCAACGGCCATTGCTCATTCTGATGTGTCCCAACTTAGTTCCTGTGGACATGCAGATAGTGCAGAAATCAGTGTCGTGATTTTGTTCAATTTGTTACGTGTTTCCCAGTAGTTTATATCGGTCACGGTCATTTGAGGTGGTGGTGGCACCAACGGCTGAATTTAGCTAAGCTAACGATAAACTAGCTAATTAACGTTAGAGCTAACAAAAAGCAGCAGTGAGAGAAGAAGAAGAAGAGGCGACCACAGCTATTTTGGCCTCATAGAGAAGGCATGTTTCAAAATGTATTTTACCTGAATTGTTCTTTTTTATATTGGGTTTAAGTTACATTGTTATAGCTCAAAAATTAATTTAGTCGAGTCTAAATCTAATCAAATCTATTTTAACAAACAATACGAGTTTGGGACAATTTTTCTGGTCCCACGTAACAGCAAACTGCATCATACAGAACCAGTATTTGGATGATGTCACCTTGTGCTTCTGGAAATTCTTTAAAAGCAGCAGGTTTTCACCTACCAGGAATTAACCTCTGTGTTGGTGAATTAAGATAAACAATTTGAGAGAAAGTGAAAACAAAAGCAAAGCAGAAGAATGAAATAATAACCAATTACAATAAAATATAGCAAATAATTTCCAGAATTATCTGATTCATTTAAAAAGATCAAGATCAAGGTCAATATTGGTTCAGTTTTTTTTTTAATAAAATGAACAAAGCCAAATCGACAGAAAACCCCATACGATACTGTAACCAAAGTGAGCCATCCTGATGCGTGCAGGACGCCCATGGAGGCCCAGAGGTTGCTGAGGCTGGTGTCCCTGCTCTGCTGTGTCCCTGCAGCCAAGGCCTGTCTGCAGTGTGACCACAAGATCAGGATCCTGCTCGAGGACTTTGTCCTGTCTGCTCCCACCGTGGCCGACCAGATTGAAATGACAAAGATTCGCGACCATGCCTATGCGGAGTACAGGGCGACCAGCCAGAAGCGAAAGGGAGTCATTGGTGAGATCGAAACCCGGCTCAGCATGACTCAACAGTTGACATGAAGAATTTCCCTTATTTAAAAGAAATATCCAAATATTGTCAGGCCATTAGGCTGTTCTTTATGTCGTTGCGTTTTCTGCTGTGGCGCTCATTTGGTCTGAATGAAAATATGACAGAAAACTATTCTGAACTTCAGAATAGTCAAATTAGTAAAATATTGCTGTGTGTTTCCCACCCTTCAGATCCCACCACTCTTTACAGAGCCAGGACTGAGTACCAAAGTGAGTTGGACCGCTTCTTGAAAACTGAGCACACTGGTGAGAAACAAAGTTTGCTCCCTCGTCGCATCACTGAGCATAATGAGACGCGACAATGCTGTCAGAACAAACACCACGTCCGCTAGATTTTAACACAAAACCTGCTCTTTTTCTATCTTTGCTAAGGATCTGTGACATTCGAGGCCATTCAGATCCTGGAGAAGGGCAGGAAGATCTTAGAAAAACACTTGGACACATTCATCCGCGACGGTAATTGGCAGGAATAACAGCGAGTGGTCTGCACAATATGGGGGGTCTCTTTGTGGAAATTATACAAGATGCATTGGTTACGGATCACTTGCTTCTGTCTCCCTCAGGACTGTGCCCCAACAAGTGCGGTAAGTTTATTCTGTCTTATTGGTCCCTCAATAGCTGTGTAAATCGAGGCACGATGTGTAGCTGCTATATATTCACTGCATGTTTACAGGACGTGTGTGTTTGTGTTTGTTTGTGGAATGGTTTCCAGGGCTTTTGAAACGAAGAGTAATGGATTGCTTCTCTTGCCACTACAAGATATACATCTGTCCTTCCCCTTCTGGCCAGCAGGACTGCGGTGGTATATTTATTTGTTTGTGTGCTTGTTATTGGTTAGCCGGCTAGTGGTACATGTGAACCGGGCGCATACCAGTCTTTGGATTAAAAGCTTCACCTGCAGTCACCAGTGTGCAAATGTGTCCCCAAGCCGGCCTCATGGCGTGATCCAGGTGCAGGACGAATTTAAATGATCATTCATTGATCATTGTTTTATTCTCCTCATGCCCCTTTTCTCCAGAGCTCCCAGTGCAGGCCGTGGAGGGAGGCCAGGCTGTGTTGAACTGTGGCCATCCATGGCATCACCTTCTGTTGGGAGCACCAGAGTACCATTACTCTTTGGCCCGCGGCGTGCCAGGAACTGAAAAGGTCTCCCCCTCAAACGTGTGCACAAATGGAAGCTAAAAGTTGTCGCTCTGCACTTCAAAACCACTTTGAGTTGTTCCTGATTCACACGTGTATAGATTCTGCCCCTCTTCTAGCTGCACAGCGTGACTGCCTCAAACCCACAGGCTTTCGCCTTTTAATCCCTCATGTTTGTGTATGCAGCTGAAGGAGAGTGATTTCGAAGTCTTGGTGGTGACCGACGAGTCGTCCGTGGTCTTAAATCAGCTGCACGTGGATGAACAAGGAACATATCGCTGCTCCCTGCAGAGCCAAGATGGAACCGTCTTCTACCGGGTCATTTTCCCACTCGCTGGTACAAACTCGCTGGTACAAACTCGCTGGTGTAAACATGCTGGTATAAACACATACAGCTCTGACACGAGGAATGCAGTCAGTTCATTTAACTCTACATCGCATTGGGGCTGATTTAGCACTTTTTAACATTAAAGAGATCAGTCACCCGTGAGAACATTATGACATTATGACAATTAATTGGCATTAAATAAACCTTTTAAGACCATATGTGTCTGGTTTTTGTGCTGTAGTTAAAGAGCTCCTTATTTTTTTTTCCTCAGGGCCATGTGAATGTTAAAGGATATCTAAGATTACACAGCTCATTTAAAATCAATTAATGCATGTTCACAAGATGAACTAAAACTAAACTAGTTCCTGTGTGTGTTTGCGGATGTAGGGTGTGTCAATTACTTTAAGTGTTGAGGGTTGGTTTGATGTCAGTGTGGGCGTTATTTTATTTTCTGAACTGTATTGGTCCGTGTATGATCCTTATTGTTGTATACCTTTTGTTTACTTGTTTCCGGGTGTACGAACCTAATGAAATAATAAACCCAACCAGAATATACATCGAAACTACTTGTAAAGAAGTTGTTTCATCTATCAACAGGACAAAATAAATATCTCCTTTGAGGAAGCCACTGGTAAAGAGAGCATAGCCTGTGTTTGTTTATTTGTCCCTCTCCACAAATATTATTCCACAAGTCCATTGGCTCTTCTCACTTTTGTTTTCTTCCTCCTCCTTCCTTCCCAGTCGCCCTTTCGCCTGACCAGACTCACCGACCCGTCATCGTTCTGCCCTCCCTGCCTGCAGGAGACCGCTACTCGCCTTCTCAACCGACTGCCGGCCTGCTGGTGCCGGTCGTCGCCGTGGTTACGGCCCTGAGTCTGGTCGCGAGCGTTGGCCTCACAGTAGTCCTGGGGTGAGAGACGGCAAGCGTGCCTGTATGTTAGTAGGAAGGGGTGGAGGTTAAAGAGGTGACACGGAGCAGTCAGAGGGCGTGACCGAGCACACGGTGCAAGATGAAGTGGTTGTGTAGTCGGAAGAGTGTGAAGGGTGAATCATGACTGATGAGCCTCAGGAATATTTCATATGAAGCTGCAATAGATGTAGAAATACATGTACCGTTTACCATATAATTGATTTCGGCCATGAGCTTTTCAGCTCTGAAAATGTTGTGGCTTTTTCCAGGAAGTCATGATTCAAGCACACACATAAATCAACAGGGGGGTGAGTGGGGGTTTCCTTCTATTATTGTTTGTGCTGAGTTGGGACTTAAAATTAGCATTGCTGTGCTTTTTATCTGCACAGAATGATGATGAGTCAGAGGAGGGCCGAGGAGAAAGAAGACGGAGGGACGAAACACACAAAACACTGTGTGATGTAGTACAGTAAATACACACTATTCACTAGTGAGAAAAAGTTTCTGATCAATACATATTGTTTTTCCTCTACGGCAAACCAAGATTTACTAATAAAACCGAAAGTTTGTGGTGTAATGAAACCTGAGCTTACAACACACACGCACGCACTTCAACACGCCCACTGATAATCCCCTTGAAAGCGCTGAATTTTCCGTAACGTTAAGCCCCAGCTCGCCAGAACGCTTCAACCATCTGACCCCGGCGTGGGTCACGTTCCCTCCCTCTGAGCGGAGCGCTGGCGTTGTCACGTGGGCGTTTTTATGAGCGGAATCAGGGGTAAAGCTCTTGGATTACAGGAGGGGTTCAGAGATTAATAGCCCCAGCCATCCAATTTATCCTGGATAATCCCCGTGTGGAAAGGGGGGGTGGGGGTGGAGGGTCAAAAAGCTATTCACCCATGTGTTCACCCAGGAAGAGAGAGAGCGCAATGTCTCTTACTTTACAGCTAACTATCATCATTCTGAACACCCGACCTCCAATATCTGCTTCCATCTGCCTCGAGTGTACAGAGAGCGTCTCTGAAAAATAGTCTATATAGTCCCTCTATTCACACAACCTCAGTATTGATCTTAACCACCTTCCTGGTCTACAAATCTGTCACAGTTGCATCGCTGTTGCTGTATAAGTCTCATCATTATCATTAACAAAAACCTGTAATGACTCAAGCCCAGGTTAGGAAACATTGGGACACATTCGCTACAAATGAAAGCGAAAGCAAACAATTATTACATTGCTTCACAGCGTGTAGTGACACGGTAGCGGGGTATGTGTGTGGATGTTGAGGCCTGCATGGATGGAGGCAGGATGTGTGTGTGGTTCTGTTTCCTGTCGGGCTACCGAAACGGTGCCAAAGAATAAAAATAAATATCCTCTGAGTTTAAGACACCCTCACACTGTGTGTGTGTGTCTGTCTGTCTGTCTGTCTGTCTGTCTGTCAGCAGGGTGGGGGCATGGCGGTGAGGGAGGGGGGGTCACAGGGGAAGTGGGAACTTAAAGAGAGTCAGAGGTTTGAGTGGGAGTCATAAGTGGGAAGGAAAGAGTAATCTAAATGTCATCTTGATCTCCTCATGTCTTAAGATGACGACGATGACGATGTCAGATTATTCTTGATATCAACTGTCCCACACTGCACACAAAATATGTCACAGGACAATGGCCGACTCAATTACAATACCTGGACTTAAATATTACACATGTGTCGGTAAAATGATGTAAAAGACCTTAAAACTTAAAATCTTTCTATAGATAAACATTTGCTAATACATTACAAATTATATAGAAAGCACAAACTACTCATTTGTGTAACTTTATCAGAACCTTTAGAAAGAACCTGAGAAAACAAGTTTTGCGCCTTCAAGCACCAAAAAAGAACAAACATGGCATCTTTTGTGTGAAAACACCCTACAAACCGTCTGATTCTTTTTTGTTTTATCAACAGCTTTGTAATGTGTCATCTTTAATATTTAACATTATCTGGTAATATTTGTTTTTTAAGCATTGCCCCTAAGCCTAAATCTGATATATGTCCTACATTTCACATTGATGAGCCCCGTGGTGATGGAGTACCCCAGAGAATGCCTTATTGACTGCTGTTTTATTAACATTTGTTGAAAACTACAGTGCCCTCAATTTATTGCAACTCATAAATAGGGATTTGCTGACAAACCTTATCCTTTGACTGTCATTAAAATAATATATAATATTTTAGAGCTATTTCTAATACTTTCCACCTCGCCCGTGTACAAAATGAAATCTAATCCATAACTGGCACAGGCCTTGATCCTTGTGAAATAATGAAAACGATACTGTATTAATGTGTAATTTGTCTCGTTGTCCTCAATGTCTTACTGTCCAATGTTATGCACCAACCGCCAAATTGTCAAATTCCAAACAGACTTTGGCAATAAATGTTCCTGATCTGTGCAGAAGATACAGCCCATTCACAGCACAACTGTTTCCTTTAAGATAGAGATGATGTCAGGAAAGATAAAGAGGCTTGTGATTCCACAGTAGAGCACCAACGAAACAGGGCGATGTTTAATTTTCCCCAAAGTGAAAAGCAAGCGCATTGAGAGGAACGTGTGTGTGTGTGTGTGTGTGTGTGTGTGTGTGTGTGTGTGTGTGTGTGTGTGTGTGTGTGTGTGTGTGTGTGTGTTTGAGAGATCTTCACGAGGCAGGAAAACAGAAGCCGCAATGCAGCACTGTCTTACAGCAGCCGTAATCTAAATAACCACAACCTGCTGCCGTTTCATTGTCGACAGTCGGGTTTTGACTGTCAGCATAACGTCACCCGAGCACATAAACACAGGATAACCCCAAACGACCACGTGTGCCGGTCGGAAAATCAGACTCCCCGTCAATGTCCATATGAGGAGTGACGGCGGGGCCATATATGGTGTTTTCCGCCCGTGACGCAGTTTGTCGTGTGGAAAAAGCTGAGGCGGGTCGTCGGTGACCCCGCCCCCAAGTAGCTGTTATCAATGAAGTGAAACTCAACCTAAAGCAGATTCTAACCGACCTGATGTCAACAAGTAGACTATACTACTCCAAACGTAGCCTACTGTAAAATAAAAGAGAAGAAAAACACTTAACCTTAACGGACTTTTTATTATTATTTTATATTTTTAACCGTTACGAGTAATAGTTTAATACTTTTTATTTTTTTTTATATTTTTTTCCGCCATGACCTCAAGCAGCGAGCCTTTGGAAATAGCTGGCAATGAGCTGGTCCACATACTCAGGACCCCCCGGGACCGGTACTGCTCCGCCGGGTCCGTGGTGCTCGACTGCAGACCTTTCCTCGATTTTGCTTTCGCGCACATTTGCGAGTCGCGAAACGTCAACTGGAATTCGATGATGCGTCGCAGGTCCAAGAGCTCGGCGGTGGCTCTCGAGTGGCTCATCCCGGACAAGGCGCTGCTGGGCCGGCTGCGGCGCGGGGACTTCTCCCCGGTGGTGGTGGTGGATGAGAGCAGCCGCTCCGTGGCCGAGCTGAGGCCGGAGAGCGTGGGCCAAATGCTGCTCACCGCCCTGCGCTACGAATTCCATACGCAGATCTGCTTCCTTCAAGGTAATGACAACTTTCCTTTTACTCTAAAAAAAAAATATTCCTGTCGGAAAGAAATAAGAGAAAAAAAAATGCAATGTGTTGACTAATTGAGCATTCTGATATATTAAATATATGGTATTTGTGAGTGTTAAAACGAACTAGTAATCTAAAAAAACGATATATCTGTATATACATTTTTTAAGAAGTACTTTGGTGAAAGCTTGGGGCTCAGCTGATACTATGTGACCTCCATCCAGGTGGATTTGATGGATTTGCAGAGGCCTATCCAGAGCTCTGTTACAGCTCAGCCAGCGATCGCCTCCCTGCAGTGGAACCAGAACCGGCAGTGACGGGTCGGACGACACCAGCATACGATCAGGTAAGCACATACCAAACGGCCATACAAAAAAGATGTACATATACATACATATAAATAAAAGAGAAAGAATTTTTAAAAGGCCGAACTGCATTGTGATTATTCTTGTTTTGTGTCAATTGCAGGGGGGCCCCGTGGAGCTGCTGCCATTCCTGTTTTTGGGCAGCGCCGTCCATTCCTCCCGCAGAGAGACCCTGGCTGCAGCGGGCATCACCGCCGTGCTCAACGTCTCCTCCACGTGCCAGAACTTCTACGAGGGGGACTTTGAGTACCTGCGGCTCACGGTGGAGGACAACCTAGCCGCTGACATCAGAGCCTGCTTCTCCACGGCTATCGCCTTCATCGGTGAGTGTCTCTCCCTAAACACCCGGCCGTGTTTACCAGAGCCAGTGTACTCTACAAACACACAGCCAATTCCCCCAAAGTCTTTTGGCACTCTCGGTGAAATGTGAGATATTCAAAACATTTCCCTGAGCAGCTTGTAAACTGTAATCTATTCTTTAGCCAGGATTTATGGTCCAACGGTGTAATCTCTTGATTCCCAAACAATTACATTAAGATGTACAAGATTAGAAATGAAATGAACATTTTGTTTTTAGTTTGCTCGTCAACCTGTACCTGTACCTCGCAGTCATTCAGTGTAAACGTTCCGGGGAAATTAAAAAAAAAAAAAAAACACTGTCAGTGACGTCACAGGACCTGGTGTCAAACGCAGCGTCCTGATCCGTCCTCCTCTTTCCGTCTCCGCCCGCAGACTCGGTGAAGCAGAGCGGTGGTCGCGTGCTGGTGCATTGCCAGGCAGGTATCTCCCGCTCCGCCACCATCTGCCTGGCCTACCTCATGCACACGCAGCGCGTCAAGCTGGACGAGGCCTTCGACTTTGTGAAGCGCCGGCGGCAGGTCATCTCCCCCAACCTGGGCTTCATGGGGCAGCTGCTGCAGTTCGAGACCGACGTCCTCTGCCGGGGGTGAAAGGCGCGGACTCCTTCGCCTGCGTCCTGGAGATGCCGTGCTGGACTCGGCGCACTGAAGGACACGTGTAGAAATGTTTTATTTGTAATGTTTAGGGGAAAAACTAATTGTGTTGCCGGCATCACACGGCTGGCGGATGTGGCAGAGACTGACAAACGGTTGTGCGGTACACAATTGTGTGTGAGGCAGTGAGTTGGAGCAACTATGAGCTCTTTCAAACTGACATTTTATATACCAAGGAGAGGGAAAGGGGGCTATGCGTGTGTGTGTATGTGTCTGTTTATGTCTGTGTGCTACTTTGTTTGACTTAAGTGCCTAATCTTTAGCAATTCACATATCCGAAACCACTGTGACCAATGACACGTCTTTTCACGAGACAACACCGTGTCAGTTTCCTGAGGCAATACTGGACGAGTCTCAGTGCTCCAACTGCTGTCCTATCGTCATGCTGAGACGCACTCAAACAGGATGGTTTTTATTCTGTAAATAGATTTGTTTTTAATTTATTAATTCCACATTGGCTATGACATGGGAGGCATTATTGCTATCTCTTACTGCACTTTACGGTTCGGCCGATTTCCTGCTGTTTTTTCTTTTTTTTCACCAAGGAAAATTAAAACATGTGAGTTTACTTACTAATGTGATTTTTTTTTTAATACACTTGTGACACACATCTCGCGTGTTCATTACAGCCAATGCACAGTTCACATTACAAACAGTCCGAAGTCCTCTTTGACCTCAACCGCCACACGGATTCATTTCCACTTGGTTAAATTGTGAGAACAACTTTAGGGAATCGTCACAAGGTTTTGTGCAGTTTCAGGAAGTTTGGAAAGTCAAACAAAGGACTCTACGATTCATTCTGGTCACACGCTGCACGTCACTTTGCTTTGAACAGATGTCGGTTTCTCAGTGGGAAAGTTCCTGCTCGTTACTCCACCCAGATCTACGTCCGAAAGATAAACCGACCGACATCAGACACAGTTCCCCGATCTCTCGAATTTCCACTCCATCCACAGAAGGTCAAACAATTGTGTAGCAGTGAATTGTGTTTTTTTATGATCAACACTGTATGTTGCAAGTGCAGTACATTCCAAATGCAAACCTGATGGGCGGAGATGACAACGGAGGAACAATACATTATAGACGAGCTGCCTCCACTCGCTCATCCCACGGTGTTAATTATGAACACCCACTCCCTCGTGATAGCCATAGCTAAAATAATCCATTTCCTCTTATTCACAAAAATCCATTGCCCACCGTGTACGCACACATGACTTCCATTCACAGGCTTCTTCCATCCATCACCCACGGTGTTCTAGCCAGAGAAATGCACCTTGGGGTTTCCAGGTGATATGAAGACCCCAAAAATAACATTTGCTCTACTGATTTGTCTCCATTTAGACTCTCTCAGTCACATACGGGTTGGATCATTTATCTATAGTATATGCTAGCTGACTGACGGTTGACACTATTGACATGTATAAAGATATATAGATACTGTTCAATGATATTAAGCTTGTTGCATGTGGCTTAGAATCAGGGTATTGTATGAAAATACATCTACACAGTCTTTTCAGTGCAATATTCATCTTCTGTAAGCCACGCGTGCAAACATGTCCACTTTAGATTCGTTTCGGAGGAAAACCTCTTCAGTACTTTTTCATTTTTCATTAAATTCACTTATACTTACTTTACGTGTTACGTTTTCCCTAAAAAATAGAGTGCAATGCTTTGTCTATTTGGTGCTACTTGACATGCAGCAGTTCCACTTCAACGCGAGTTCTCCTCTAAATTTCACAGATGGCTCATTATCCTAAATACTTCAGGCCAGAAAAGGTAAAATCATCCATTATCAAAAACCCAGCACAGCTTTGTGCAGTGTGACGGCCCTCTGGCTGTGAGCAGGGCCTGCTGTGTGTGTGTCTCTGTGTGTGTGTGTGTGTGTGTGTGTGTGTGTGTGTGTGTGTGTGTGTGTCTGTGTGTGTGTGTGTGTGTTTGGTCCATGGTGGCAGGAGCTGGTCAGTGATACCGGGACCACCTGGCCCGTCCTCCAGTTGCATTTAAGACCCGTTCGCCCCGAGTCCTCACGCTCTTGGTTTCGCGGGAGCCTCTCGGCTCTGGTTCTTTGTGTTGTTGAACAACAAATAAATGACACGTGTCATCTACGACCCCGTGTTTCTCCATTTTTGTCATGGCCCAAGAGCCAGATATATCGGGTGACCTTTGGGAAGAGGCATGAACCCTATTGGGAGAACAAGTGGACCTCGATGTGCAAGTTATAATTGCATCCAACCAACGAATGCTGCATCCATGCATCACAATTAATAATACATAGAAGTAATATATAAGCACATGAGTTATTTTACTTAAATCCTGCTCATAATACCTCTGTTTTCATAGGTTTTTGACAGGAAAACGTTCATTTATCCTGTGATTGTGTATTCTTACATTAATATACTGTTGTACTTAGGATGTGAGTACCTACTCCTCCACTGCTGGAATGAAAAAATGAATAACAATATGCCCGATGACAGCCTTAGTTGTCACATTAATATGAGGGGCATGTGTTCGTAGTGAGACGGGGTCCTCTAGTGACGACTTACTACTGAAATGACCAAAAACCACGATGTTTGCAAAGTATCCAGCAGATGACGCCAACAGACTGTTAGTCAACTGTGGGAGCCTTTTCGTGACGGAGATTACACAGAGAAGCCACATGTGTCTCTATGTCTCTCACACACACACGCACACACACACGCACACACACACACACACACACACACGCCTATCACATCACTCTGTCATTTGTTTATCACTGGAAGCAGACTCTTCCTCCTCCTTTCATTTAAACGTCTCCCTCATCTAGTTTATGGCATTAATTTCCTTCTCAGTCAGCCTGGCTCCCTGATGAAAACAGACCCAAACCGTTGGATGTCAGAATCGATCACATTACATCGTACGTGCGTGCGCGCGTGCGTGCGAGACTTTACTTGCAGCATTTACTGTGACTGTGTCACTTAAACAAGACATTCCCACACCGCCATCCGATCATACGAGCGATAAGTGTGTTATTGTCAGCAGGGGAATTGCAATATGGCAACTTAACACACACACACACACACGGACACACACAGTACGATGGCCTGCATATACACACACACACATGCACACACATGGGCATCATCCTCTCTTGGTCTTCTGTGCTTAATATGAGCGCACGGAGACACTTCAGCCGCGGTTCAGTGGGGAAAAGCAAAAAGCCCCCCAGAGAGGACTCCTTCTTGCACATCGGGATTTAACTTTTAAGGCTTCAGCGTGGACGTCCAGCGAGAATTACGTCCCCCCCGTGCGTCGTCCCCACGTGCGTGCCCGCGCGCACGTCTGCAGGCCACGCGCTCTTACACAACAAGCACTTCAGGAGCGGTGTGCGCGCGTGGTGCGGCCCCGTCTCTGTAACCTTGGCATGCGGGACCCCCCCGCCCCCCCGCCCTGAACCCCAGAATGTATCTGCGGCGCGTTATAAGCGCGCCTCGCCCGTGGAACCAGAGACACTTGATTGGAGTGCACTCTCCCGCTAAAAGCTTTGTTCTCATTTTTCCCGTTTGTATATTTAGAATGTGTAGCGGGAAATGTGCAAGCCATTATGGGCGGCTGCTGCTGGGGGGGTCACACATTTAGAGAGCAGGGGGCTCCCTATTGTAATTCCACGGGACGGCGTTTGTCTCTCATTAAAGCGGCGAAGCGTGGGGCGCGCTGCATTAAAAGAGCCAACAGGACCACCCGCCCACGTGCCATTCATAAGCGTGTGTGCGTGCATGTGTAGGCTGGCCATTGTGTGCTGTTTTTGTTTTTTTTGTGAGCTTTGGCGTCATAGAAAATGCATTTGTTATACTGGTCGCCGCTTTTTCACAACTAATGAATTTATATACTCGAATATTCAAATATGCATCGGGGCATTACCTGATTAAATGCGTGCTTATGTTCCGTATAAAGTTTGGACACACTTTCTCTAGCGTGTCCAAACTTTGACTACCGTGGTACTGTATATGTGTGTATATGCACACACATTTCCACAACAGAAATCTGAACATGGCTTCGTCCAATGTTGACATACGTCGGCGTAGAGTTTTAGCGGAGGAACATTTGGATATTTCTTACTCCAAATCTGAATTAAAAAAACTGTCAACCGGCATTAATAACTAATTTCGTCTCATGTTTGCTATTAAATGTTTTTGTGAGTTATGCTATTTAAGGTTTTTCTTAAAATAAGACTAAAACACGCTTTTCAATGTGTTGGCAACGTATAAAAACATTCAACCTTGAACAAACACCTCAGAGAACTCGGCAGATAAATATAAAAACTGGGAAGTTTGTAACTGCTGATGAAGTTCCGGCTCGGAGATTGAGAAACCGGCATTAGATTATAAATTGTCATATTTTGGAGGGGAAATGAAGGATAAACATCAACATGAAAACATCTGCAGGTTTTGCTTTTCAAAATGCAAATTATGCATTATCCTATAATCAAAAGACACAAATAGACACGTGTAAATGTTTTAGTTCACAACAAAATCTCAAAAACAAGTTTGCCGTATGGACCTTATGGCCATGATAACGCAACATAACGCGCATGGTCACACATTTTTGAGCGGGCTTGTGTGCAGGTGAGTATTGTCCTGCAGTGGCACGTTCTTTTGACACCGAAGTAGTTTGAGGTTACGTGGAAACTGTGGGTGGTGGGGGGGGGGGGGCAAAGGTCAACGTCTAAAGACGAGGGGGTCAAGCGGGCTTCTCTGGGCGGAACGCAGATCAGCCAAATGCGCTGCGCCCCATGTTGAAGTGCAGGGTGATACTAGTGAAGATGGTGCTGATGATGACAGTTAGCTTCATAAAAAAGGCCAGTGGTCCCTGGGAGGATTTCTGTGAAGCAGATTGCATTCATTGAGCACTCAGCTGGACACCGCAGCGTCCCGCGGAGTCAATTGATCGAGGCAGTAAAACCCAACAAGCCAGTTCGGAACTGCGTTTGATGCCTATCCATTTAATGCCAGCAGTAAGGAGGGGGAGATTGGGGGGAGATTGGGGGGGGGGGGGGCTGCAGGGAGCGAAAAAATTAGGATCCTGTGACGCCCACAGTTCCATGGGGACATCACCGGGTCTAAAAAAGAAGCGCAGGAGGGAGATGGGGAGGCACCCTCCGCTCTTTAGATTTCGTCGCAAGGTCCCGTTCGCGAGTTGAGAGGATGCTGCGCCTCTGCGAGGACGCCCGTGACGTGCGCCGGCTGAGCGCCCGTTTCCTGGTATTCCGGTGAACTTCTGTGGAGACCGGAGCCCCAAGGAAGGAGCGCGGAGGCACCACCGATGAAACGACGCGTTTATGGATCTGCATCCGTCTCCACGCGCACGGCTGGGAGAGCTCGTCTTTGTTTTGTTTTTTTGACGGCTGAGCGGAGACGCTCGGACCGTCCTGTGCAGAGTGGTGGGAAGGAGGCAGCAGCCGCTCTTGGTTAGGGGATCTCTGTAAATATCGCACAGTGACTTTATTTGACTCCATCTCAGCCACCCCGCGCTCGCTGTTCAGATGAGACAGTCGGTTAAGCGCGCGTCTCCAAACGAGGACGCACGGAGATCGCACAGGGGTCGGGATCATTTACCCTTATCCGGTATCTTGTATTGAAGGTCGCTCCACTCTAAAGTACCCTGATTTCACTCATCATAAACTTAATATCGCATCTCTAAAACAGAAATCCGAAGGAGAGCGCCGAGGAGGAAAAAGGACAAAACTTCGAGCGCCTGTTTGTTTGGAACTCCGCAAATACTGGTGCGCATCAGTCAGTTCCCCAGTCAGTTCCGGGACATCTGTTCTACGAGGCAGCATTCATTTTTCAATTGAAAAGCATTGATCAGCGTCTTGACGCATTACCCGGGACTGGTTTGCGGGCTGAACATGGACTTGAGAGAGCTGCCGTGCCGGCTGCAAGAGAGCATCCGTTTGGACGCAATACGGGGACAGAACGAGGACAACTGAGGTAATATATCATAAAAACGATTCTTTATTACAATCAAATATATACTTGGCAAATAGAGTGCAAGGGTGCAACCATCCACGATCATCACATTCCACACTTATATTAAAAACATAATGGTGAAATGAATTTCCATTTATCTTATTCAGTGACCCAAACGTATTTGTTTCTTTCATGCTCTGTAAAGACTTATAGAAGAAAAAACACTCGGCCGGCATGACCTCGGTTCCGGAGAACAGCTGCTCCATGCAGCCGGGCGGCTGGAACAGCAGCAGCGCAGGAGCCTCCGTGCCCTGCAACCAGAGCATGGTGAAGCTCGCCCCTTACTCCCCCGAAGCCACGGCGGCCTTCGCCACCGCCATAACCCTGATGGTCCTCTTCACCATCGTGGGCAACATCATGGTCATCATCGCGGTGCTGACCAGCCGGGCGCTCAGGGGACCGCAGAATCTGTTCCTGGTGTCTCTGGCCGCCGCCGACATCCTGGTGGCAGCGCTCATCATCCCCTTCTCCCTGGCCAAGGAGCTGCTCGGCTACTGGTACTTCAAGTCCCTGTGGTGCGAGATCTACCTGGCGCTGGACGTGCTGTTCTGCACCTCCTCCATCGTGCACCTGTGCGCCATCTCGCTGGACCGCTACCTGTCGATCTCCCGGGTGACCTACGGCCGCCAGCGGACCCCCAGGCGCATCAAAGGCGCCATCGTGGTGGTTTGGCTCATCTCCGCCATCATCTCCTTCCCGCCGCTGCTCTCGCTGAACAAAAGCGAGGCAGGCGAGGAGGGCAGCGAGAGGGGCTCTCAAGTGCGAGCTGAACAACGAGCGCTGGTACATCCTCTACTCCACCATTGGCTCTTTCTTCGCGCCGTGCCTCATCATGATCTTGGTCTACGTGAGGATTTACCAGATCGCCAAGCAGAGGACGCGCTGCCCGCCGGGGGAGCCCCGGAAGGACGGGGTGGGCTCCGCCACGCCGAGTCAGCCCCTGCGACGCGTCGATGCCAACGGGAAGGAGGACGAAGAGAGCACGCCGCCTTCGTCCAACAAGACCTCCAACACCAGACCCCCGACCCTCGCCATCACCCCTTCCCCTTCCCCTCACCCGGGGGACGCGCAGCCCGCCCAGAGCTCCCCCTCCAACAACCACCTGCAACCTCCGTCCGCGGGTCTCGCCATGACCTCCGTCTCCTCCTCCCCCGGGGCCTCCAGCCCCCCGCCCTGCGCGCCCCAATCCGCCCCCGCCAAGACCAACGAGAAGGCGAAGCGGGGCAAGCGGCGGGGGTGGAAACAAGCCGACAACAACAACGGCGACAGCTCGAGCACGGAGAGCGACAATGAGCACAGCAACGGGGGAGGCCGCGGCAGCGCCAGCATGCCCGGGTCACCGGGCGGGGTCCACTCACCGGGCTCGGTGAAGCGCTACCGGGACATGATCGCCACCTCGGCGGGGGCTCGGCTGGCTCCCGGGCGGAAATCCAAGACGGACCCCGGGGCGGCGAGGCGCAAAGCGATGGTGAACCGGGAGAAGCGATTCACGTTCGTCTTGGCGGTGGTGATCGGCGTTTTCGTGGGATGCTGGTTCCCGTTCTTCTTCTCCTACTCCCTGCAGGCCGTGTGTCCGGAGACGTGCGCCATCCCGGGGCCGCTCTTCACCTTCTTCTTCTGGATCGGCTACTGCAACTCATCGCTCAACCCGGTCATATACACCATCTTCAACAAAGACTTCAGAAAAGCCTTCAAAAAGATACTGTCCAGAGGCACCAAGGGTACTTTCTTTTAGCAGAAGAATCTGCAGTTTAGGACGCACGGACACACGCAATGCAATTTTTGAGGCATACAAAAAAAACACTTTTTGAGAACACTCAAAGGGCTGAACTGATAGACTCTGCTTTTACAAGCGTGTACGAAACAGGCACATTTGTGAAATGGCAGCTTGTGGAAGACACACACACATTCATTTTTAGGGTGTTGGGAGACAGAAGGACATGGAGTCGAGATCCCTCACTTATAAGATAAGACCTTCATAAGATAAGATCAGACCCTGTTGATTGCAAAGTTATATCTCCAGTCAGAGACTCAAGAAAAAACACTGAGAAGGAGCTGCTGAGATGGAATACTGTTCAATGTATTATATGTGAGAGGGGGGGGGAGAAAACAAGTAGGATGAAGGAAAAGTGACCTTATATCCCTGTGAGCCCGGGGACATCGAGCTCATCAATACAGAGCACAAGGGCGGGAACAAAATGCCAAGGGTGATTTCTCACATCTGCGGTCTTAATTTCCCAGAGCCGCGTGGCAAACATGTGTTCCCTTGATTTTTATCGAAACAACTCGGTTGATGACCATTTCAAATGTGATAGCGCAGACGAAAAGCGAAAAGCCAAACTCGTGGGGCTCTCATGAGGAGGGCTTGCACGCGTCAGACAACTCGGCCTTTGGCCCCCGGGCCGTCAACGGACACTCAGGTTGTTTGTTATGACACTCTCGGCTTTTTTGCCTTTTATGAAAGACACTAATGAGACTTTGAACTCCAGAGAGAAGCACATTCGCTGCTGCTGCGATGTAAGAGCAAGACCCTCCCCCCTCGTCCTCTTCAGCGGGCTATCCACAGATTTTTAACTGTATCCGGATTCACGCGCGGCGAGGGCCTAACCGAGCGCTCATTCCGATGAACCCAGTATTTTGGACATTTAAAAGAAATCCCATATTGTTTTTCCCTCTTGAAAGCGTGTCACGGGTTTTCTCCAACGGGAGATCAAAAAGACTCTTCTTCTTATTCAACACTTATTTTCCAGAAACCCGATGAAGCAGGTGGACATTTGCATTTCCAAACAGTGCTGTTATGGATGTGTCACGGTAGCCATAATTGCGCCTAAACACGAGGTTACTGCGAGAGCCATTTGGCCGAGTCACTCTTTACCGACGCCTGTGGCACACCATCGCCCACGGTGGGCCTCCACATGGCTCATTTGGTTTATAGCTGAGAGGCAAGAGTATGAATGGTGCATTTATGTTTTTCCCACCATGAGACTGAGGCTCCGTGTGAGCTTCCTCGACTAAAGAAAAAAAAGAAAATGTGTCTGTGTATGTGAACAGCACACAGGCTTATCGACTCAACGGGACAAGGGCTGTCAGCAGCGACACTACCAATTGTCTACTACTGCTGACCTGTATGAGTGTGTGTGTGTGTGTGTGTGCGTGCGTGTGTGTGTGTGTGTGTGTGTGTGTGTGTGTGCATGTGTGAATGCATGCTTGTGCGCGTGCGTGTTGACTTAGGTGAGAGAGTCACGATGTCTCCTCTGGCCACTGTGTGTTTCAGCTCAATTGTAATATCGATTTGAGAATAGAGTGGAGATTTCCTGGTGCAAGCATCACCTGGGGAATGTTTCTACTTGTCGGACAGATCAGCGGCACAGAAAGCGTTGCTAAACCCGAGAGTCTTTTTAGCGATTGCCCTCCAGGGACCAAAGACACCAGCCCGACCGAGCGGCACGCGGCTCCCCTTGTCTGCTGTAAGGAAGCGTCGCTTTGCATTTTAGGGTGTACCCGGGACGGGAGGCAAAGATTGAAAACACTGTATAATTTATTTCAAAAACGATTTTGTCTTGTCTGTCTGTTGCCTATTTATTGTTCTCTTATAGTGTGTTTATTCTGAAAGTGAAAAAAGAAAAAGAGGATGGAACAGGTGTCAAACACTGAGAACACTGTAAAATGGACTTGCTGCCCTGGATCTCTTGCTTTGTGGAGGTTGCCCTGCGTCTGAACTTGGGGTGGGAGTGGGGTTGGCGGGTGGGAGGTCGATGGGGATGCGTCTAAGTTGAGTCGAAGGGCCGACAACTTTTGAGTTACAATGCAGACGTACAATGCAACATTCGATTTTGTTTCATCTAGTTGTATAGCGCGGTTTAAAATAGAAATACGAGACTCAAGCACATTCGTGGATGCACAATCTTTATCGAGCACGCCGCTGCAGGGAAAACCTCTCCTCGGCTGTCGAAACTTTTTCATCAAGGAGTAATCGAACACGCAAAACGCCAATAGCCGGCAGTAGCCGGGCCCGTGATTTGCAGGCTTTGTGCGGGACATTAAGGCTACAATCCATACTGCACACAGAGATGCTTGGAGACTCCAACAACTGATGGAAACAAGATGGCGCACGGACACAACCGCTTGTTTTATCTCGAAAAGATACAGCAACGCAGCGGAGGCCATCAATTCATGGCTATTTCCAATAAATCTGAATTGCAAGGCTGCTCAACCCCCCCTTCACTCTCCCCACGCCCCATCATGGCTTTATGTGTTGAGACTGCTTGACTGCTGCTTTGTTTATTATATTAAGAATGACTTATGGCTTACAGGTGACAGCTGCAGTACAGATCACCGTCCTCTCGCCTCAAACTGCCTGTATTGTCTCTCCTCCTGCTGCGTTTGGACCAAACTGCATGGTCTGAGCTCTGCAATCTCCTATTCCCATCTGTCATCCACCACTCTCCAGTTCGGCCAAAAAAATAAAGCAACTTGAAAAAGCATGAGTTGTTCCCTGGGCTCGTTCATTTCATTTATTTTTACACACTATACGACTTCGGGGATGAGGGAGAAAGACCTCTCCCAGGAAGAGAATGAACAAACAGATAGTCAGAAGAGTCTAAACAGAAGGTTTTTTTCCCTTAACATTTAGCGCTGATGACAGTTCAAGATGTCATTGGAAATGTTCCTGCCGCAGTTGGACACATGAGAAGTCGCCTGCTGCCAACAAACACAGAGGAAGTCCATAAGGGTTTAGAGCATGTTGCCAAATATCACATATGGACACATGCACGTACACATTGGATGTCTCATTCTGCATTGAGTGTCACATGCTGTATTCAAGTCATGAAACAGACTCAATCCCATGCAGCCGCACACACACACCAGCAGCGACAGCTTGCATTTGAGGTTAGCAGGCCTACTGTGAATTGTAATTGATTTATGTTGATGGACAAGCCTCCCTGTCCTGCTTTTCCCTCCACACACACACACACACACACACACACACACACACACACACACACACACTGGAGGAGGTGAGCAGATAAGACGTCATGACCAAGCGATGTGTATGTTTGCCCCATAAAGGACACAGAGTCCGTGCACGCTGCTCCCTCTCAGCAGCCTCGGGAACCGAGCAGGCCTGACCCGGTGGCGGCGGAACCTCCGGGGAGTCAGCGTGAAGCGCACAGCCGGATCTCCAAAACCTGTTTGTAAAAATGTGTACGAAAATCTTGAACATACAAATTCGTAGTGATACATACTAAATAAATACGGACTGCAATTGATGACGTCACCCTATTCAAAGTGAACGGGGACCTGCGCCCCGTAAACACACTGTGTGAAGTCTAACCATGTAAAATAAACGTGTTATGATTGCATTTTTAACGAGAAATCAATGTTCACTTGTAGAAGAATACAATACTAACCCTAACCCCCTCAAAAAATCCAACATGGCGGAGAGACGTTCACTCAAGAATCCGACATGGTCCGCCATGTTGTTCACTCAAGGGGCGTGGTTAACCACCGCCAGTTCCTATGTATTGTTACCAATGTTCAAGATTTTCGTATCCATTTTTACGAACAGGTTTTGTAGATCACGTTGGAAGCGCAACGTACTCATTAGCCTGTCATTACCACAATGTAGTAGCCTTTAGAGGAATTTGCTCGCGCAAAAGCTCCGAAGCAGCGAGAGGTGAACACAGACTTGTGCGCGCAGACAGACACTTACATTAGGGCTCGTTTGGGAATTTATGATGGATGTGGCATTCTGCTCCGTGGATATGTACCTTCTCAGAGGGCGTCTCTCCATTTCCAATCTCCTGGACGTTACGGTGGCTGATAGATTTCTTCAGTCTGTAATTTGGCTGTTGAAAAACACCCAAGAGGCAGGATGAGAAATGAGAGACGGAGCACACAGAGGCGGGGGCATTGAAATGCACTTTGTGTGATAAAAACGTCATTTCTAAGGAGCAATTATGATTAGAATTGCTTTAGGAGTGTGGCTGTTTAACAGAGTGTAATGGCAAAAATGTATGTAACCCTTCAAAATGTTAACAGGGTTATAGATTGCAAATGCTGGGAAGGTGTGGCCATGATAAGGAACTGAGCTGGAGGGTCTCACACTGATAAGATGCCAGTCTACCGGCTATAGAGACACAACAAGTGGGTTTGGGGGCCACCTGTAGGTATAAGAACTGCCCGGCCCTGTTGCGAGAGGAGGGAGGTTGTTGGCGGTCTACTTAGTACGTATCTGTTGTGACCTTTTTTCCCTTGCAAGGAAATAAACGGAGAAAGACATCTTTGACTCCGAGCCTTTATTCTTTTTGCACAACAAGAGAGAGAGAGAGAGACGAAGCAGCAGTGAAAGCAGCACGCAAACAATTCATCAGAAAAACGTTGTCGTCTGAGGTTGGGCTGTCAGAGTTGCTCAAGAATGACGTTTGAATATTTGCTTTAAAAAAAACACACATATGCGAATATCTGGTTGCGCATTGACACGTCAATAACAGGACAAATGAATACAACGAGACATAACTACGTGTATAAGTAATGTATTTAAGCTTAAACATATTTAACAACAGATTATCTACACAAAATTAAGTAAATGGCCATGACCGCACACCTTGTGCATACACACACTCTTTGTTTCTGTCTCTCTCACGATTCTTGTCCTGGATATGGCAGGCTTCATTCAGTGATTGAAACAAATATTATCAACATTAATTGAAGTTTTACAGTACCGACATTGAACGCTCCGAGCGAGCTGTGCTGTGGTAAACATGGAACGGCAAACAATCAAACCAGTGCATGAAGCTGTTCTGGTCTATTTTATTCATGCAATATACAGTCAGGCGTGCGCCCACCAGCAAGGCAGACAGTCCCGCTGCGGCTGCCCCTGTTGTTGTTTTTTACATTCAAATATTAATTTTCACATTCAAACAGTTTTTTTTTAACAATATGTATGAAATATATATTTGAATTTAGAATATATATTTGACTTTAGAATATTCGTTGACAGCCCCGCTCTGAGGTAAAGTGTCTGCTGCAGACATAAGTGCTCCCCTTTTTAATGCTGGAGTTTGGTCCTTCATCTCGCCGTCCTGAATCCATCTTCGTCGAACAGGGAAGGAATGAAACGACCGATATGGCTGCTTACAAGAACAATAACAAGAACAGCCCAGTACGCTACAATAAGTCTTGCCAGTTGCTTGCGCCATTTGTTTACCGCCGTTGCCCTGACCAGACAGGAAGCAGATTACCACGATGATTGCGTATTTCCGGTAACAAATACGGTTGTGAAAGTTGGGAAAAAGGTCTATTGGAAGCACAGCAAAAGCTTTCACTCAAACACAAATATGCAAAGTTTTCAGGAAAATCATTCGAAAATATACCCAACACTATGTTGCGAGTTCAAGGGAAACTATCATTTTTGGTTGATTCAGGGGCTGCACATTCTGTAATACAAGAAAAATGTATTTTCCAGGTCAGAAGACATCCGTTTTCCATCCCTTCTATAAGCACACTTTTCTCACACTGCGCTACTGAAACAAATAGGAATCGGGAGTTCCTGTTAGCCGTAAAACCAAAAGTGGGTTTCTGTTAGTTGGAAAATTCTGAAAGTTTAGTTAAATGTTAAGCATTTAAGGGAATGGGACCAATATGGTTGATGAAGGCTGGTAAGGAAATGTTTTTTATGTTGATGAGGCGCAGGCGCACAAGTAGCGAGTAACAAGAGTAACAAGAGATCAATTCTCCTGATTTGGTTTTTCATTTTAAGATGTGATATACGGGAGACGAAGCCTCCTCTGCCTGTTTTTCCTCCAGCTCTCTCTCTCCAGCCTCCATCCAACCGTCACGTCCTCCTCCACCTCCTCAGTCCCCATCACAAACCACAGCCCTGGTCCCACAGAGCCCAGACCTTGTCTTGTCTTGTCTGCATTGAACAAAGCTATGAGCCAGAACTTCCAGCTAAAGGCCAGCTCCCACCAGATCGGACCGAGTGGTAATAGAATATAGATTTAGATATAAACACACATACATACTTAACAGAAGCGCAATTCCTAAGTAAGGGATCAAATTACAAGAAACTGTAAAGGAAGTATGTCTGGAATTGGTAGAAAATAGTAGCCTGAACTTTGTTGTTTTGTTTTTTATCATACGGGGAACATGTTCGAGTGGATCTTGGTCTGGACTCTGAAGATCCACAGAATTTTACTTTTACTCCTTTGGACGTTGCCATGAAATTAAAAACGTCAAGGAAGCAGAACTTTTGGAGGACAAATAAAGAGAGTTTGTCAGCAGAAAAGATTTCAAGCTGACAAAGTGGACCCAAGTGACGCATCAACACACACCACCAACCACATCCCATTGGGTGAGTTAACTTTAGATTATGATCGCCGTGTTTGGCTGCTTCTATTACTTGGTATTGGAGGACTACAGCAGCGTCGGCTGAATGAATAACCAATTTGAACCAACAGAATTCTCAACAGGACGATGAGAATTGTGGGAACTGCAGCGTGCTGGGGGGAGTCACCTCGATCCCCTGACCGATTCTATGGAGGCCTCAATGGCCTTATTTGAATAAAACTCTGACACCGGATTCTGAAACGATGATTTATTGGTCCAAAACTGCAATAAGTGATGAAATGAAAAATAAAGTAATAAAAGTAATCCATGTACAATTCTACATTTCTTTTATATAATGGTTTTATACAATTATTCAATTAGTTTGGTTGAACTTTTTTTTCCTTTTAAATTGTAGTATAAACAGGAGGGAAATGTTTTCCACCTTAGTGCGACAGAAAGTCTGTGGAGCCACGTTGTGTTCTGGGTCATCTGCTAATAAAAATGTTTGTGTGTTGATGTTTATCATCTTGTGGAGACAAAGATGAGTGTCTACATCCTAATTCCCTGTGAGAGTATTTCTAACATATTGATATTGTGTAATTGTAGATAGCTGATTCATTTCTGTATTGTGGTTCAAACATCTTGCAGTTCTTATAATTAGTTGTTATACTGTACACATGGTGTACTGCTCAATCCCAGGCCAAGGTTTTCAGTCTTGCTCTTTTCTAACAGATGTCTTCCTTACCTTTTCTTCAAAGGTGGGTTAGGTGAGTTCTCAGTTGGGCATGCAGATGTTTATTGTTTATTAATTGTTTATTTGCTCCCCTATAGATGTTACCCTGTTACAGCCGCTCTCACCGGGTGTCGTTGCAGTACAGTACATGCACTACATCATACATAACCTTCCATGTTCTTGTAAAATCATACCAATCCTAAATTGGTCACCTTTGATTGTTTTTCTTTTGTGACAAACAGTGGGGTTCTTTTTTGTCTCTTCTCTGTGTAGAAATGTTTTTTTTATTTATTCATTCCGTCGTCAACTGATAACAATGGTTGCCAATGAATTGTTATAAAGATAAAATCCCCTTCATTCCAAAATAAGTTTTTCTGAATACAATGAAACTTTAAAAAAGCTGATGTGAAGAGAGAGACAGAG